CAATACACCAACTTTAGAGGTTCCCCTACAGCAGAAACAGTGACAACACACAAGATTAGCTATGGTAAATTTGGACTTAGGGTGCCATCTAGGGGACAAATAGTACCAGTGACCACAGACCCAGGGAAAAGCAGTGTGCTTAAGAATTACTAGAATGATAAGCACACAGACAAAAGGCAGATGACCTAAACTGGATACCTAACCCTTGAATATTCACGTATCAAAGGTGCCAACAGAAATCACAACTCTCACAGAACCCTGAACTCCCCAAAAGGACCAAAAAAAAAAAAAAAAATGCCAGTAAGCAGAGCAATCAGTATATATATGTGAGCTCTCAAACACAGAATTTAAAATATTTTAGAAAACACAAGGAGATAAAAATACAGAGAAACAATTCAGTCCTTTAACAAAGAAACTTAGAGAAACTTATGTAGTTTAAAAAGCAAACAGAAATCCTTGAGCTGAAAAATACGGTAAATGAGATAAAAGATGTGGTAGAGGGTATCCATAGCAAACTAGATCAAAAAGAAAGTGTCAGGTCTTGAGAGAATGGCACAGCATTTTCACAGTACTAAAGGACAGAAAAAAGCAAATCACAAAACTCAAAACAAAAATAAAAACAAAACAAAACAAAAACCTCCACAAACAAGGAATCTGCCCTTTAGAAACATAATAGAAGGTTGGGGACGTAGCTTACTGATGAAGTGCTGCTTGGCTAGTGACCACAGTAGTTCTCCAATCCCCCCAAAGGAATAAAGAGATATTGATCCATTCCCTAGCAAAAAAATACCTGTAAGAATGTATCCCCATCAGTTCTGTCTTATTAGAAACCATAAAAGAATTCTTTAAACTGAAAGATATACAAGTAATTTAGAAGAGACTCCCAGAAGGCACGGAATTCATAATTAAGAATAACAACACAGGGGCCAGCCAGATATATCTCAATGGACTAAAGCACCTGTGTAGGCAGGCGCAGGGACCGGGGTTTCGATCCCTGGCCTGCTATGCCGGCCCACTGTGCCAACTCCCATCTCTGGGGTGTGTTGAGATGGAGACTGAGACAGCGTGATGGTGCATGTCTATAAACCTAGTCCTTAGGAGGTGAAAACAGGAGGATCACTATGAACCTGATCTGTGTTGTGAGACCCTGTTCTAAAATTAAAAAAAATAATAACACAAATTCTATATACAGTAATATTATAAAGTGTACATATACCATTCATATCTTTAGTATGAAGAGTAAAAACAGTAACTGTGTTAATATGTTCAGTAATAGGACATAGAAAAAAAGCAAAATAGGACATTAAAAATTAACCTGTAGGGAGGAATGGGTAAGTTTTCTTTGTTTTTGGGGGGCTATCTTTTTTATCAATTTTAAGTTTCTAGTTTTTAAAAATAGTTTGTTATAATCTAAACACAATTTTTATAATGCCTTATGGTAACTAGAAAGCAAAAACATATAGAAAGCAAAAACATTTAAGACATACCAAACATAATAAAGAAATCAAAACACATTACTAGAGAAAAATCACTTAAATTCTTGAAATGACTATAAGAGAGAGAAAGAAATGACAACCCCAAGAAACCATAAATCCAGGAAAATAAGTTACATAACATCTGTATTAAGATCTTATTTTTCAGTAATTATCTTGAATGTAAATAAGTCAAATTCTTTAATAAAAAGACAGAGACAAAGAAGGGCAGTCAGCTGAATAAAAGGAAATAACTGTCAATAACATGCATCCACTAGCAAAACACCTAGATGCATAAAGCACCTATTTACAGATCTAAATGGAAGAAGAAATGCAGTACAAAAGTATAGCACTTTATCAGCACAGTTTTGGCAATAAACAAGAACATTCTACCCAATAGTTGTTATTGTACAAGTGTTATTTGGCCACTTATTTTATTCACCATAGGAAGATAAGACCAGAACTAAGTCAGAACTAAACATTAAAGTCTGAGAACAAGTCTGCTCTTAGTTTTTACAGATCTCCTAAGAACAGAGAGGAATACTTCTAAGATCATCTATTTCTAGTTATGTAGTATAGACTTAGGACATTCTGACTTCTAACACTCTAGTGTAGTGTGATTATTCCTGATGCTCTAGGAATCCATAATACTGCATATAAGAGAATGATGAAGCAAGTCTGTCAAACAATAATTCAAAATAAATAGGTTTTCAGTGCTCTCTGTACTTATTCATTTCTTTATTGCAATGAAGAATTTGAGACTATCATCACTTTTCAGTAATAGCCTTGACTTGCTGCGTACTTGTTTGTAAACATACTGCATTTTTCTCACTGTTACATCTTTCTTTTCCCTTGTGGTACTGAGCATCGAACCCAAGCAATATGCCCAGCCATTGTGTTTTATTTTGAGACAGGATCTCACTAAGTTGCTGAAGCTGACCTTGAGTTGGTGATCCTCTGTCTCAGCAGCTGGGACTACAGGTGTGCACCATCACACCCTGCTTGTTAGTCTTTTATAATTAGTGGTTTTTGTCTTTTAACATCTATTCACCTATTAGACAGTTTTTAAATTCTTAACCCTTCCTTCTCCTGTGCTCTAGACTCATGTGTCTACCTGTCCAGTGAACATCTTTGCCACAAATATATCCAACATGTCTCAGTTAAATTCTTCACTCTTTCAAACTACCTCCTTCATATTTATCTCTTTCTATTCCTGGCACTAGAATTCTAAGTCATGATTTTTATCACTACATTTTTTCCTTTCTTCAGTACTGGGGACTGAACCATGGGGCTTCTCACTGAATTATACATCTCAACCTTTTAATGTTTTATCTGGAGAGAGGCTCAGTCAGTTGCCGAGGCTGGGTTTGAACTTCTGCTCTTCCTGTCTCAGACTCCATGAGTGCTGTCATTTGCAGGCATGTGCTGTCATACCCACAGGCTTTATGGCTTTATTTTTTTTCTGTCATTACATATAACACAAACACTGCATCATATTCATTCTATCTCTGATATGTGCTTTCTGTCCTCCTTTACATCATTCTTGGCATAGTATCTCTGCCCTGAGGGTTTCTTTGCTTGTCTTGCCTACTACGGTAGGCTACTTGGTCATCTTTAGATTCTAGTTTTATTATCTCCCACAGAATAATCTCAGATTAATAGCTGTATAGAATTCTGATTATAACCTACCCTGCTTTAAAAACTTGATATGATTCCCACCATCAGCTATATCAATAAACTATTTAATCTTTTAACTTCATGTAAGTGCATAAACTCCTTTTTACAAGCCTATTTCTCACTCTTTCTTAGTCATAGTGTATGTGAAGGGTGAAATGGCAATCTGTTGTTGGTCATACTGGCCTATATTTCTATAGGCCTAATGTTAACCTTTTTAACTGAAATATTTTCTACATCTTTTCTTCTTTTGTAAATATCACCCTACTCAACTTCTCCAGGACAATGGCATAACTTAATCACCCATACAGACCATAAGTATGATCTAATATTTGACATGTAATTATGTATCATATTTATGATAAACTATCACATGTATTAATTCAACATAGCCATTTTACTCCTAAAGTTTTCCATTCTTCCTTCAATGTCTCTATATCTTGATTCCCCAAAAGCAATTTTTAAAAGTACTTTTCATTAGAATATCTTCTAAAATGCCTATCTTTCTGGTGTAATATTTGACTATATGGAAAAAGCTAAAAAATAGAACTGCAATACTGAAACAAAGGAACACTATTTAAAAAACTCAATTTTTTTTCTGGTTAAGAAAGGGCAATGGCATTGTGGCTAGAGAGAAAAAGCAGGGAAATAGGTACTCAGGCATAAAAAAAGCTTGTGCAGGAAATCACTTCTGTGATTCTGTACAGCCCAGGTACAAAGCTAGGGGCTAGCAGAATCCAATGAAAGTTGACTTTGGACTGACTATTAGAGCTGTTCAATGCTGTTAAGAAAGCTAATTATTAAGTTAAAAGCACAGAAGAATTAGGTCCTGAACTCATCCTTGCTCTGGATATCTTTTTAGAGACAAAACAAAACAACTTTCATGTTATTTAAATATTCAAAATGCGTGACTTATCCAATACAGCATTTTTTAACTCATGGGACACAAAAATACAGTCCCTCTTTTTATTTCATGATGAAAAGTTCCCACAATAATGTGTGTTTGTAAATAGTATTTCTAAGACATGGCAAAATGTAAAGATTTTAATGTTATTTTCTTTTCAAGAAATGCCAAAGAGAAAATCTATTTCCTCTGGTCTCTGGTAGTACTCATACTTGGTGACTCAGTATAGGCTAATGAGGACAACAGTTTAAACAGTCCCACTCCATTTCATTCTACAATGTCTCAGGAATTCTGATACAAGTCATTTTTCATTTATTTTGCTTGCTTTTTAGTTCAATTTCCAATCAAGGAACACATATAAAACTTATTGTTCATCCTGCTTTACCTTGGTCTTAACCATCCAGCAGAAAAGTATAAAAACGAAGTATGAGAAGTAAAACCAAGGTGTTAGGTTGAGCTGTGGGGGACTCAGGTCAACAATTTCTGACACTGCCAGTGAAGCGGACGACCCAATACTATTATGGACTACTGGACTCTTTTAGAATATTTTGCTGAGTTTACACACCTATCATATTTAAATGATGGAACTTAACAAAAAAAAGGGGATATAAATAAATGTCCATTTTATATCTGTGTATGCAAAGTGGTTAGGATAGATATTTAGTTACATTCTCTTAATGAATAGAGGGATTTGTTCTAATGGTGTTTGTAAATAGGATATCAAGTCCGCATCTTGTACAGTAATTAACCACTAGGAAGAATGTATGCAATGTGTTAACTATTGAAACTGTCCTACCAATTTGGTTTGAAACTGTCTCATTGCTATTTTTTTCTCAATAAAATTATGGAAAAAAAAACCTTATTGTTCAGACAGCATTTTAACATAGCACTCAATTTGGTAGTGTTGTTGCACAGTTCAAAAAATAGTCATTAACTTTTAAAAAGCATACCTAGGAGTGCAGTGAGTTTTGGAAGAAGTCCAACTTGCACCATCTTATTCCTCAGTCCTGTGTCAAAGGACAGGTTAAGCAAAAGCCGCAGAGTGATATTTAGTAAATCTTCATGCTCACATGGTATCAGTTTTACTAGTTTTTCAACAATATCCATTTCCACCTACACAAAAAGATGTAGTGAGGTTTTATTGTAAAATAACAGAAAAAGATTAGAAATAATTTTTTTTACAATTATGTTTATTTTAAAGATAACTGTGTGGTAATCTTATACTCCCAGTTCATACCATTTCAATCTATACAGTTTACTGAAATCAAACTTTTGAAAAGAAAATGTTTGCAACAACCTATTTCCATATCATCTCTTCCTTCCCTTATTTGGTTATAGTACATCAAGTGCAAGACAAATTACATTTAACTCTCAAAAACGTTGCATTATTGAACACTACCTACAATGTACCAGGCCCTGATGAAATAACATCTCAAACTGGTCTCAAGGACTCCTCAGTCTAAAAAGTGGACAAATCAAACAATAGGAATATGATAAAAATTCACTACACAAAGTATTCTGGAAGCAACAAGGAAGAAGCTATTCTATCTAGAAGAAAAGTCCACTTCAAATTAGGAAGTGTCTTGAACAGGAAGAAACTGTTCTTTGGTTAAGACAGGCAGAGGTAATTCAGGTTTGAAAAAGCAGGCAGTAGATGGGCCATCAGGAATTAAAGTCCTGTTACTTTGGTATGACCACAGTGTAAAGTAGTTGCTGAAGATTTGAAGTAGCTTAAAGACAGACCTGCGCCGGATCACTGAAGGTTTAGTGCTCTGCTGAGTTTCGTATCATCCTACAGGTAGCAGAGTGTCCTTAGTGATTCTTAAGTCCACGGGATAATATGTTCCTAAGCATGGAACACTCCTGGAATCTCAGTTAACAGCTAATGGCCAACCGTGGAAAAAGGCCTAATTACGACTACAGGTATCAGGCCTCTTTTTTTTTGTGCAATCAACTAACATATGTTCCAATTAAGGAAAAATCATTTACGCTTTTGTCATGTGTAATGTGAGGTGACAGTCAGTGGCTAACTGGAAATCATACAATGCTCAGGAGAAAAACTGGGAAACAGGTAAATGTTAACACTTTCAAACAGAGATGAGCAGGATATGGCTTGTAGACCTAATTTGGCCTGTTGTTTCCATACATCCCATGAGCTAAGAATGGTTTTTGGCTTTCACTTTTTTGGTCAGGGAGGGAACAGTAGTGATCAAATCCAGGGTCTTGTGTGTAGCAGCTAGGGAAGCTGCCTAGTGAGTAACTACCACTGGTCTATATCCCTAGCCTGGTATAGTTAAAATAACAAGGACGAGCAAGTGTGGTGTTGCAAGACTGTAATCCCAGCACTTCGAGAGTCTAAGGCAGGAGCATTATTTAGAGTTCAGCACCAGCCTGAGCTACAAAGTGAGCTCAAGGTCAGCCTGAACTGCATGGTGAGACCCTGCCTCAAAGACACACATGCACTCCAAAATAAAAAGAAAACACAAGGAACAATGATGTATCATCACACATGAAAATTGTATGAAATTAAATTTTTCATGAAGTTTTACCAGAACAGAGCCATGGCCATTAGTTTATAAATGGTCTTTAGCTGCTTTCATGCTATTACAGCAGAGCTGAGTAACTGTGATAGAGGTTATGTGACCTAGAAAATCTAAAATACTGACTATTGGACATTAAAGAAATGTTTGTTGGCCTCTATCCTCTGCTTTTGAGATATAAAATTGCAACAAGAGACTTTTATGCTCTAATGAGAAGTTACAGAGGGCACTACTAATCACAAATTTTGTAATGGAAGCCCTACATTAAAATTTTTGAAGATAGCAATCCAAAGAACATAGCAATAAAAATATCTCATGTTAGCTGTGTACGGTGACCTATACCTATAATCCCAATACTCTAGGACACTGAGGTAGAAAGATCACAAGTCTGAGCTTACCCTGAGCAACTTAGCAAGATGCTGTCTCAAAATAAAAAATAAAGAGGACTAGGTTGAAGGGTCTGTAGCTCTAAAACAAAACAAAACAATAAAACAAAACATCCTTTCATGTCTTTTAGTGATAACTAAATGCTAAATAAAGGGAGAGAAATTCTATTTATGAATTTAGTGATCTAAATCTTTAGTGAATGTTTAAATTTAAATGCATTACAGTAAAAGACACTGTCATATTTATTTTTTTGATACCAGGGATCAAACTCATGGCCTTATCTTTGCTAGACAAGAGCTTAAGCCACTGAGCTATCTCCCCAGCCAAAGACACTGTCATTAGTTGTTTTCAAAATACTCCCTCTCATTTCAAATGCACTTATTTCATCATTCTTGCTACTTTACTAAGCAGTTCTGGAAGACTTCTGTGTCTTTAAATTGTGGTTTAAAGATTGTCTTGATATGTTGAACTGATTCAAAATGTTTCTCTTCATGGAGAAGAATCAGAAATGTCATGGTGCCAGATCTGGTGAATAAGGTAGATGAAGATGCACCGTAATGCAGAGTCTGCTTTTCCATTGGATGGTACTCAGCAGCAGCATTCACTGGATTTTTGATATTATTTCAGTAAGGACAGAAAAGGACTTCAACTTCAGAAAGTTGTAAGAAGGATGGGCTAAATATGGTCAAACTAAGGGAACTATTTTGTGCAGCTGCCTTGTTTGGTGTTGGTCTTTTTGATTTTAGTGTATTTTTTTTGGTTGAATTGTTTTTTAGAGGAGGTTTGTTTTTTGTTTTTGGTACTGAGGACCGAACCCACGGCTTGCAGCTTGCTAGGCAAGCATTCTACCACTGGACCAAATCCCCACTCCCTAAGGGAACTATTTTGAAGATTAATGACAATGTGCATTTTGCTATGAGTTTAAAAAAAAACAACAAAAAACCATATTTTTAAACACATCTCATAAGTACTTGAATCATAATAAAAAGATTTCAGAATAATCTTGCTTCACTATTGTTTCATTGGGGATCTAAAATATACTGTTTTCTTCATATCTTTATTATATTCTTTCACTGACCTCATGAAGATAACATTAACAATTTAGTGCTTGCTTTCCTTTTTTTCTTTTCATTGCGTATCTAGGAGTGATCGGAAATTTGCTTTTTTTAAAAAAATTTTTAATGCCAAGCCAACAAAACCAACATGTGATTTTTCCTCCAGACTTCTATGAACACTTCACAAATACATAGTAGCCAAACCCTAGAGTTCTCCATTAAAGAGTACAAAGCAATCTTGAAAGACCTCTAGAAGTCAAATACAAAATATAAAAGTTGATCTAAAATGTAAACGGAGAGGTACAAACTAATTTTGAAAAAGAATAATGGAGGCATTATACAGTCTGGTATCAAAACTAACTATACAACTCCAGAAATCAAGAGAAAGATACACAGGTGAAAGAAAAACTCATAGACTAATAGAAGATAGTCTAGCAATAAATCACATATATATAGCCAATTGATTTTCGAAAATAGTACAAAGCAACTTCAATAAGGTGCAAAAGCAATTCCATGGTGAAAGAAGTCATTCAACAAATACTGTTGGAACTGGATCGAAATGGACACCTATACTCAAGACTAAGAATATTAATCCACATCTTATATACAAACTTCACCCAAAATAGAGAAATCATAGGCTAAAACAGTAACAAAAATCCTTTAGTAATCTTGCGAAAAAATAGGAAGACATAATTGTGACCTTCAGATAAAGACTTTCATATTTGGACCAATGAGATGGCTCAGTGGAACAAGTGCTTCCCTGGCAAACGCAAAGGCCTGAGTTCAATCCCCAGTTCCACCAAAAACAAACAAACAAACAAACAAACAAACAAAACTTTCATAATACGACACCAAAAATAACATCCACTGGAAAATGTTTAATCCTGGACTTAAAAATTAAAAACTCTGCTCTTAAGACCAGGAGAATGAAAAGACAAGCCACTGAAAAGATAAAAAATACATGCAAAACATATAACTGATAAAAAGTATTATATCTAAAATATAGAAAAAAGAAATCTTAAAAGCTATTAGCAAGAAATAAGAAAGGGCCAGCCAAATAGCTCAGTGGACTAAAGCACCTGCTTAGGCAGAACACAGAGGTCAGGGTTTGATCCCCAGGCTGCCATGCCAGCCCTGCCCAAAGGACACACTGAGAAATCTTAACACTGGGCGTGGTGGCACGTGCCTGTAATCCAAGCACTTTGGGAGGATGAAAAACAGGAAGATCACTATGAGTCTGATCTACCTAGTAAGACGCTGTAGACCCGTAGACCTTGTACTAAACACACACACACACACACACACACCAAAAAAAAAAAAAAAAAAGGAAAGAAAGAAATAAGCAAAACAAGCAACACATATCCTTTGTTAGTCCTCTTTATTTTTTATTTGTATATTGGTGCTAGGGATTAAACCAGGGCCCCATGCAGACAAGGCAAAACTTTACCACTGAGCCACATCCCCAGCCCCTATTCTTCTTAATGTTCTCATGACTTACGTTTTTGTTATATTACAATAATTTACTAGGTGAATATATTATACAAATATTATATGAGATATGATTCAATTTAAACCACTAATTGTAGAAGGTATATTCTTAGACATACTTGCTCTAAATGAATGTCTAAAAATAAGGTCAGTATTAATTCACATCTACAGTACAAAGAACACTTTTATTAACTGATACCATCTTGCAAATAGTTCAGCTATCTCCCTACCTTTTATAAAAAAATAAAATAGCCACAGGCTTCAAGCTGTTACTAATTATATTAGATAATATTTTTCTCCTGAAAAAGCCATAGCATAAATGTAGTAATAAAATCATTTACAGAGTTTGCTATTAATTTACGCTCTTACCACACAGTGTGGAACGTGAAGTGTCATTAATCAATCAACACTAGACTTGTATTTAATACAGCTTACTAGTCATGTCTTTATGGTTGATTAAAAGGAAAAATTCAACCTCAATAGCTAAATTTAGTGATTGTCTCAATATGTAATAATCTCTCCAATTTCATAAAATAAAATTATAATTAGTATCTTTATTAAGTTTCATGAAAAGTGATAAAGCCAACATTTTAAAAAATTTTAATATTGTTTTGACAAATTATCATGCCTATATTAGTACTCTAAATAACTACTGTGAAGATAATATACAAGATATTAATTATTATAACTCCTAATCTGATTTGAAAATTTTTTGATAATGTATTTGGTACATGGTCTTGCTGTACAGCTCAGACTTGCAGTAAATCCTCCTGTTTTCAGCCTCTCCAGTGCTGGGATTACAGGCTCAACCTACCACACACAGTCTCAGTGGCTCAGCATGCCAGAGGGTGGGACCAGCACAGCATGTGGTGCTGGGGATTGAACCCTGGTCCCTGCACTCACCTAAGGAGGTAGTCTGCTGAGCTATCTCACCTGCTCAATTTTGTTATTTTTAACAATAAAAGATATTTTTAAAATTATTATTAATCTTGTTAAACGTGTTAAAATCTAGGTATTCAAATATGTCTCATTAATTTAGGTGAACCTTTCAGAACTTCAGTTCTTCCATGCAATGCTTTGATGATTTATAGCTTTCAAGCTTATACAGAAAATAATTTTAATAATAATCTTGAGGTATTTTTAGTAGAAGGAACACGTAGTGCATTACTTAAATAAAAAAATGAATCTATGCTTGGTAAATATGTGTTGATGGTAAATAAGTCTGAATGGTGAGAAACTACTAATGGTGCAACTACTCTACATAGATAGATGTATATAGTTCAATTTATACAAATGAGAACCAACTACTTGGCTACACAATAACTACTTAGGGATCACACTCTATCATTTTATATTCTTAGATATAAGGTCAAAGAAAACAAAAATTGTTTTTAGTTAATCTCTCCTAGTACATTTAACCTTAAAATAATTCAAGATATAACTAATTATTAATGATGAAAATTAAATATTAAAAAGGCTGGGGAGATAGCTCAGTAGAATAAGCACCTGCCTGGCAAGCACAGGGTCCTGAGTAAAAGAAAAGAAAATTAAATATTAAATATATTGAGGTAAAATAAAAGTTTCTACAGTCAATAATCAGAATTGAAGCACTTATAAATCTGATAAATCACTCACAGTTTTTTAATATGTCATGAAAACATAAGCTACTTCCTAGTTCATTTCACTTTTTTTTTTAAATTTTTTTTTATTTTATTTTTTTTATTTGTGTGTGTGTGTGTGTGTGTGCGCGCGCGCACGCGTGTGTGTGTGTGTGTATGTGTGTGGCCAGCTCAGCCCACCAGGGGGCGCGGCTGGCTGGCATGTGGGGCTGGGGGATTGAACCGCGGTCCCTGTGCTTTGCTAAGCTTGTTTTAAGTAGGTGCTTTAGACCACTGAGCCATCTCACCAGCCCCACATTTCACTTTTTTAATTAAAAAAAAACTTTAACTGATTTACATGGTTCAGGGTCTTGCTATGCAACTGAAGCTCTTAGTGATCCTCCTGGCTCAGCCTTCCCAGTGCTAGGATTATAGGCATGTGCCACCTGGTTTCAGGGACTGAAACCCGGGGCCACCACAGCATGTTGCACTGCGGATCGAACCTGGCTCCTTGCGCTTTCCAGGCAGGAGCTTAGACTGCCAAGCCATTTCCTCAGCCATTCAAAGAAGATAGATTATAGTTTTAAGTACTGTAGTATAGTATAAGTATTATAGTATACTATTAATATAGATTATAGTTTTAAGTACTATATATTATACTAGTACTTAATGTGAAACTAGTATACCTGAATGTGAAACCACTTATACCAATAAGACATAGTCACATACAGTTAATCCATTAATTGCAAAATGGTCTTTGATAGAGTTAAAGCCCATATAGCATTGTTAAGATTTTACTTTAAGAAAATACTCAGATGTAAACTCAAAATTGCATAAACAAATACATGTACTAAAGTGGTGCTTATAATAGGTAAAGTGATAAAAAACTAATGTTATCTGAAAAAAGTGTAGTTATTTACATGATCTTTTTGGTATGCTACTGGACTAACAGAGATGCTTTAAGGATGTAAAAAAAAGCAGATAATAATATTTCTTTTACCTTTGGAGCTGAGATGTAACTAAGTGGTAGAATACTTACCAGCATGCATGAGATCCCTGTGGTTCAATATCCTATACCACCAAAAATAAAACACCAGTCCTCTAAAAGGCTTCATACTCTATCTTCATAAATTAGTCTATCATTCCTAATCTATAGAGGGGAAGTATTTCATGCCCAATTTGTATTTCTCAAAGATTATTACATCAACATAATAGCAAATAGGAGGCTAATGCAATAATTCAAACAAGAAATGAAGAAATCTATATACAAAGTGCATGAAATAATGAGGAGGCACTAAGAATGGAAGGAAGGGATAGTTTTCAGAGATATTTAAGGAACAGAATGAAAAGGTTGCAGCTATCAACTGGACTGATAGGTGACAATATTGGAATAAACTGTAATTTCATACACTGATATCAGAAACGAAGGTAGCAAACTAGTTTAGAAAAAAGAGGGTTAGATGACCATGAAATACAATTTTAAGATTAAACTAACTTCTATGTATTACATATAAGATGGCAAGATCAATTATAAATGACACATTAGAAAATATTTTTATCTAGACACTTTTAATTATCTGGAATATTAACTAATATGGAATATATTTCTTAATGAAGCCATTTCAGTGAGTTATTGCTATTATAACATTTTTAGAATTGCTGTAGTAGTAAAATATTTTACAATATATTCTAGTAAAAAATGCATAACATGAACTATTTCAAGAAGGAGCTTTGTAAATTACCATATCATTTTTATTCTCCATAAAAATGCTGAGTTTCTTTAAGAATGTTACAACTAAAATAAGCAGCTCAAAATTGTCCCGATCAAGAGCTTTCACCAACATGTGAACTATGTTTTTATTCCTCATCTTCAGTTCTGTACGAGTATCCTCTGCCAGATTCAGAAGCAAATAAAGAGCAACTGGAAAAACAAAACAGGTAACAGTTAAATCACTGACGTATTGAGTCAACAGTTAAATTACTTCTTATTTATCAGGATAACAGAAGTAGTTCTAAAAAGATAATGTATCATTTTGAAAAACATGTTCAGTAATTAACTAGAAAACATTAAATATTAAATGATACATACATATTATATAAAATAAAACGTAATCTTTTGATAAGAAGGACAAATAACTAAAATAAGACAATGACTGTAACTCTCCTATAGCTTAGTGCTTCACAGAAATCAAATGGCAATTGAAGGATTTAAGTCAGCACGTGATTAAAAGAAGCAAGGAAAATGATTTTTGTGCATATAGAAATACCATAACACTAAAGACTATTGTGCCAAAGAGCTATAACCCTAAATACAAAGCATAGTTGAGAGGTACAAATGAAGATTAAAAAAATCTACTTTCATCATTAAACTGATTTTCTGTTAGTCACTACAATAAAAGGTCATTTGAAATTCTGTTTATTGTTATATTAAATAAAGTTCAATCTCTATTAGTACGATACAGAATTTGTTTGGATCCCGTCATCATTCCTAGTAAGAATGAAAATTAAGAAACAATATTTTCTGGATAGATAGCTTGGTGGTCCAAGCACCTGCCTGGCAAGTGCAAGGTCTGGAGTTCAATCCCCAGTACACTATTCCAGGCCTGGCATGGTGGTGCACACCTGTAACCCCAGTGTTGGGGTGGCTGAGGCAGGAGGAACACTACGAGTCCAAACTGCATAGTGAGACCCTGTATCAACAACAAGAAAAAAAATAAAGAAACAATATTTTCCCTTTTACTTAGACTGGCAGGGAGCTTCAGAGTTAATTTAAAAGGTTTCTAAAAAATAAAATAAAATAGGTTTCTGTTAGTGCATAGTCTTTTTGTTCTTGTATGGCCTTGATGTCACTTACTACTCTTATATAATATTTATTGTATTCTTATGAAATACCTTCATGTAAGGCTATGAATACATATAGAACAAGAGAGACTTAGAAGAAAAAGTGTGATTTCAACAAGGCTGGAAATAATGCCTCTATCATACATTTATGGGGTACTGTTCTCAGAAAGTTTTTCAATAATGGAGAAAAATTAGCTCTAGATTAGATTTTGCTTATGCCCAGACTAACAAATTCTTAGCTCAAGATGTACAGCGATCAAATTATTTCTACATAATTTAAGTGTTTGAAAACAAAGTTCAAATATATATGTAAAAAGTATAAAACACTCAAGAATATAAATTTCATACTGTGACAGTCAAAGATTGTTGTTATGATTTGTATCTAGTTGTCTCATGTGCTCAGAGAGGCAAGGCATGTGGGAGCTAACTGGATCATGGGACGTGATACTCATGTGTGGATTAGTCCACTGACAAGCTTATAGCTAAATGTGATTTGGGAGAAGGTTGGTTGGGGAATGTAGGTCACTAGAGTATGGCCTGAAAGGGTGTATCTTTCTCCCCTGCCCCTCAATCTCTCCATTTTCTGCTGTCAGGCAATGAGTTGTTTTTCATCAAGCTGTCCTGCCCTGGAACCAGCTGACTATGGAGTAAAACCTCTACAAATTATAAGCCAAAATAAACTTTTCTTTTTTTAACATGTAGGTGGCTGGGTATTTTGTCCCAGCAATGAGAAAGTAATTAAGACAATTATCAATAATACAAAGAAGCAGGAAAATACAACATATAATTAGGGAAAAAAATTAACCCCTGAAACTCTTCTAGAACAGACAGAGGTCAGCTTTATAGGATAGTAACAGTCAAGATTGTGTATCTATTCTAGATCTTCTAGAAGTTAGGTTAAGAAACAGGAAACAATAATATTCACACTTTCTAACAATGGAAACTAAAATGCCTGAAATTATAGACTAGATGCTATTACCAGCAGCTTGATGATGGAAGAAAGATTGAATAATCATAAATCATACAAAAATAATCACACAAGAAAAATGATAACAAAAATGTCAGGTCTGAAAGAAATGTGGAAGAAAGATTGAATAATCATAAATCATACAAAAATAATCACACAAGAAAAATGATAACAAAAATGTCAGGTCTGAAAGAAATGTGGAACAACTTCAAGCATCCCAATATATATGTACAATTATATTAAGTGAAAATGTAACAAAAACTTCCAAATTTAATGAAAAGTATAAGAGTTCTGATAGGCTCACTGAATTGCAAGATAAAAATGAGGAAAACTACACAAAAGCAGATCATAATGAAGCTATTTAAAGCAAACGACAATCTTAAAAGCTATCGGAGAAAAACCTATATTCAAAGAAAGAGATGCTAACAAACTTCTTATAAAAAATAATGTGAGCAAGATAATAGTGATAGTAACATGGTTAGACTTCAGAAAGGAAGGCAATTGGATCATGGGAATGGATTAATTTATTAATAAGAGCTGAATGTTCTATTCAGAGGTAAAGCATAGTTTTAAAAGGTAAGTCATTGCGGGCAAGAGATGGAAGGGTATATTTCTGTATCCCTTCTCTCTTCTCTTTCCTGCCTCTCCCCCACCCCCCCATGTCCTTCCACTTTCCTCCAACATGTCCTTCTACTATGCTGTTCTTGCTTTGGAGCCAGCCAATCATGGATTGAATCCTCTAAAACCATGAGCTAAAATAAGCTCTCCTCTTTTACTGTGTGTATGTCTGGTATTTTATACCAGCAACAGGAAAGTGGTTAATATACATTTTCTCTAATGATAATAGAATTAAATTAAACATGAATAACAAAGATCTCTAGAAAATTCCAAATTATACAGTATCAAAATAACTTCCTTCTAGTAAGTGGAAGGTCTTGGAAATTTTAAAGTTTTTAAAACCAAATGAAAAAGGAAACAGATGGAGACGGGCCGGGGAGTTAGTTCAGTAGTATAAGTGCCTGCTTTGGAGGTGCAAAGTCCTGCGTTCAATCCCTGGTACTGAAAAAAAAAAAAAAAAAAAAAGGAAACAGGTGCTGAGACCAGGTGTGGTGGTACATGCCTGTAATCTCAGCATTTGGGAGGCTGAAAACAGGAGAATCACTATGAGTCCAAGCTACATAGTGAGCCCTTGTAGACCCTGTAACAAACACATAAAAAACAAACAAAAACTGCTAACAGCAACAAACTACACAAAAGTGATGGACAGAAAATAGACTGTTTATCTAGTATGTACGTGGATAATTTTTGTAATGAAAGAGACCAATTCAGTAGATGAATAGCTCTACAAAAATAGTACTCGAATAGTTAGATATTCATATACCAAAAAAAAGGATATTTATCGATACTTGCACAATATGAAGAAAAAAATAACTTGGGCTTGGGAAATTGTTCAACAGTCAAAGCACCTGCCTGGCAAGAGCAAGGACCCAGGTTCAATCCCTGGCACTGGCGCCGTGCCAGCAATCCAGCCACTGAAACTGGGCATGGTGATTCATGCCTGTAATCCCAGCCTTGGAGAGGCTGAGACAGAAGGATCACTACAAATCCAAGCTGTGCAGCAAGATGATGTACCAAATAAATAAATAAATAAATAAATATTTTTAGAAAAGAAAAACATAACTCAAAATACGTTGTAGACTTAACGGAAAAGCCTTAAGCTATAAAACTAAAACAAAACAGGCCTAAATCACTGTCACTGTCAGTTAGGAAAGGATTTCCTAGATTCAATACTAAAACCATGATCCATGAAACACAAGTTATACTTCATAAAATTAAAAGTTTTGCTCTTCAAAAGATATTACGAATGTAAATGATAAGTCACAAGAGAAAATCTTTGCAATTCATGTATTTAGTAGAGGCTTGTATGCAAAATATAAAATGATCCAAGTTTTGAAAAAGAAGCCAAGATATAAAAAGACTCTTTAACAAAGACAAACACATGGCAGCTTGCTTGCTCACACTTGCTAGGGTGCGCGCGCGTGCGCTGTCTGTCTGTCTCTCTCTGTCTCTCTCTCTCTGTCTCTCTCTCTCTCTCTCTCTCTCTCTCTCTCTCTCTCTTTCTCTCTCTTCCTTTTGCTATTTTCAACCCATGAACAGAAATAGCTGCCCCTCTGCTATGCAGTTCTGCCTTGGAGACAGCTAATAATGGATTAAAGTCTCTATAAACTGTGAGCTAAATAAACGTTTCCTCCATTTAAAAAAAAAAAGAGAAAAGAAAAGGCAGATCAGCACATGAGGAGATGCTTGATAGAGTAAGGAAACTCACATTGAAACTAGAATAACACATTATTTTAGTTATTAATTAATAACTAAAATTAATACAAATGTCACATAGATCACTTAGTATAAAATGACTGGAACTCTCATTCAGTGATGATGGGAACATAAAGTGGTATGATTGCAACTGAAAGCTGCTTTGTAGTTTCTTAAGTATTGAAACAGCTTTCTAGCTATGCCATCACTAGAATTTGATAGCTTATGCTACTTCATTATTTAGCATTTAACTCAAAAGGCAATTCACAGACTAAGAGTCAAAGGTTGTAAAACAATACTCTATATGCAACAAAAACTGATAAAAAAGCTGAGGACAATATTTTATTCACAGATAAAGTGAATTTCAAATCAAGACTGAGTGAGACAAAGAAAGTCACTACATCCTTGTAAAGGGAACAGTCTAAGAGGAAGAGATAATACACATAAACATATATGTAACACATACCAGTATACCTGTAAAACAAGTATCAATAGACCTGAAAAATCAAATAAGCATGAATACAATTCTATTGGAGGATCTCGATACCCCACGGTCACAAAAAGACAGTTCAACTAGACAAAAAAAAAAAAAATTAACCATAAGATATGAGAACTGAATCAAACTTTTAAAGAAATAGACTTGGTAGATCTCTACAATGTTTCACTCCATGACATCAGAATACACAATCTTTTTAGATGCATATGGGACATTCTCCAAAATAGACCACATACTAGCTCACTGAATATGCTGAAGTAAATGCAGAGGAACTGAAGTTACCCCATGCATATTATCAGACCAC